TCGTGACCCAGTCTCTGTTACCCGGCTGTACAGTGACTGCTCGGCCTACTGTGTCAGAGCTAGTGACCACCTTAGACGTCGCTGCGACACCCATCATAAAGCCAGTCTCATCAAAGTTGTACGTGTCTGTGTCTAGTATCCCATAGGCCTGGCGCGTCTCCTCTACGAGCTTAAACCACGCTGCGATAGCGACAGGATCCTCACAGCGAGCGCGCTGGCTGTGGAACTTCCTATTCCACTTAGTCCGAAGCTCAGACTGGCTGTTGACAAAGCGCGACACCCAGTTCTTGCCTACAGGTGGACTTCCGGTTGGCGTCACAGCTCGACCACAACCATCCTATTTTCTCTACTGCAATGTGGTAGAAGAGGCAAAAGTGTCTGAAATGCAGATGCATGGCAATTTCAAATCTCTAAAAGTCTATGGGGAAGGGTGAGGTGCCTGTCGAGTTGGCTCATCTCGCTGAGGGGCATTTCTCGCTTACGGGCAGGGGACATTACTGAACTTCGCTGCTCACCACTGTGCTACGACTGAAGTACCCCCAGGGGTAAGCATAATCTGTAAGTAGATTGTGTGTATTCTTCTTCTGATCACCGAGAGGTCTGTGATCTAAGCTTATATACATAGAGTAGTGGGCTGATTGGTCGCTGGATAGTCCACGTGACCATGCAAGGTACCCTGGGCTTACATAATCACTTGAGGGATCACACGCTGCGATTCAAGGCCGCACCTCAACGTAAGGCTACTGTATCTGCCATTACAAGACCCATGCCGTAGACGAACCCCCGCCTATCAGTAAGCAGCTTACGTTTCTCAAGCGCTATGACATGTACAGAAAGTAGAGCTGTGCAAAATCGTTGCGCGACTGCGTGTAGGGGTGAAGTCGCAATCACTGTTCACTACGGCAATCAGAGGTTAACGCTATGGCTGAAAATCAAACGGGTTACAGTACCAACCGAAATTGGTTTCCGCTTCGCGCATGTCGTTTGTTCAAAGCATGCAATTATCTTCCGAGTTCCCTACGCGACAGGTAGCGTGTTGCAAGGGCTGCATGGCGATGAATGGTTCTGAGCGCGAGAGCCTCTTTGTGATGGGTTACCGTTAGCACTGTAAGGCAAGGCTTAGGGATCGAGTGATTTCCCGGATTATTCCTCTAACTATGCCATACCACTAACAAATTACATGGCCGTAACGTGTTGAGGATGCCGTAAGTAGAAGAGCGATCTTCGTTACAGTCATACCTTGCACTGTGTGTTTCCTAGGCGGTATTTCAAGCATGGTTAGAAAACAAAGTTTTCATTGTGGCATCTGACTGGAATGAAGCCATCACTAGAGAGGAATAAGCAGTCATTATGAGGGAATTGTCGAAAACACCAGGGATTTTAGCCTTCCTTTACGCTTTTATAAAGCGGGCTACTTC